ACAGACTTATCCCCCTATAATTTTTGCACTCTCTTTTTCCCCTTTGCCTTTATACAAAGGAACTATGCATGCTCTCTGCCAATCCTAGGTACCTTACCCTCTTCCATACATTTATTAAATAATTGCACCAACCACTCCAAAACTATATCCCCCCCTGCTTTTAACATTTCTATCTTTATCCCATCAATTCCGGCTGCCTTGCCCCCTTTCATTTTACCTACGCCTCACGAACTTCCCCCACACTCACACTGGCTCTTCCTCACTCCTACAAGATGTTATTCCTCCTTGCCCTATACACGAAATCACAGCTTCCCTATCTTCATCAACATTTAACAATTCCTCAAAATATTCCCTCCATCTTCCCAATACCTCTAACTCTCCATTTAATAACTCTCCTCTCCTTATTTTTAACTGACAAATCCATTTGTTCTCTAGGCTTTCTTAACTTGTTAATCTCACTCCAAAACTTTTTTTCTTATTTTCAACAAAATTTGTTTGATAACATCTCACCCACTCTCTCATTTGCTCTCTTTTTACATTGCTTCACCACTCTCTTAACTTCTCTCTTTTTCTCCATATACTCTTCCCTCCTTGCATCACTTCTACTTTGTAAAAACTTCTCATATGCTAACTTTTTCTCCTTACTACTCTCTTTCATCATCATTCCACCAATCGCTCCTCTTCCCTCCTGCACCACTTTCCTGTAACCACAACTTCTGCTTTAACACTCTAACACTACATTTTTCAACCTACCCCATACCTCTTCGACCCCATTGCCTATGTCTCATTAGCCCATCTATCCTCCAATAGCTGTTTATATCTTACCCTAACTGCCTCCTCTTTAGTTTATAAACCTTCACCTCTCTCTTCCCTGATGCTTCTATTCTCCTTGTATCCCATCTACCTTTTACTCTCAGTGTAGCTACAACTAGAAAGTGATCTGATATATCTGTGGCCCCTCTATAAAACATGTACATCCTGAAGTCTACTCAACAGTCTTTTATCTACCAATACATAATCCAACAAACTACTGTCATTTCGCCTACATCATATCGTGTATACTTATTTATCCTCTTTTTCTTAAATATGTATTACCCATAACTAAACCCCTTTCTATACAAGTTCAATCAAAGGGCTCCCTTTTTCATTTACACCTGGCACCCCAAACTTACTACCACACCCTCTCTAAAAGTTTCTCCTACTTTAGCATTCAAAGTCCCCTAACCACAATTACTCTCTCACTTGGTTCAAAGGCTCCTATACATTCACTTAACATTTTCCCAAAATCTCTCTCTCTCCTCTGCATTCCTCTCTTCTCCAGGTGCATACACGCTTATTATGACCCACTTCTCGCATCCAACCTTTACTTTAATCCACATAATTCTTGAATTTACACATTCATATTCTCTTTTCTCCTTCCATAACTGATCATTTAACATTACTGCTACCCCTTCCTTTTCTCTAACTCTCTCAGATACTCCAGATTTAATCCATTTATTTCCCCCCACTGAAACTCTCCTACCCCCTTCAGCTTTGTTTCGCTTAGGGCCAGGACATCCAACTTCTTTTCATTCATAACATCAGCAATCATCTGTTTCTTGTCATCCGCACTACATCCACGCACATTTAAGCAACCCAGTTTTATAAAGTTTTTCTTCTTCTCTTTTTTAGTAATTGTATACAGGAGAAGGGGTTACTAGCCCATTGCTCCCGGCATTTTAGTCGCCTCATACGACACGCATGGCTTACGGAGGAAAGATTCTTTTCCACTTCCCCATGGACAATAGAAGAAATAAAAAAGAACAAGAGCTATTTAGAAAAAGGAGGAAAACCTAGATGTATGTATATATATATATGCATGTGCGTGTCTGTGAAGTGTGACCAAAGTGTAAGTAGGAGTAGCAAGATATCCCAAACACTTCAAATTTTCAGGAACACATTAATGTTGTAAGTGGGGGATCTACTGTATTTGACTTTCAGATGAATTATTTTAACGAGGACCAAAAGAATAACAATGATTCTTTCAATGAATTCTTGGTTGTCTATTCTCTAATAATACATGTTATTCTTTTGGCATTGCTTTTTTTTTCTCTCTCTTATCCACACTCTTCACATATAATTGTTTCTCATTTAATTTGAATGATGTGTAACTGGACATGGTGGAAGGGAGAGGGAGGAAAGGAAGTAAAGATGAGGGGGCTAAAGAAAAGGAGGAATGTGGGAACAAAAAAGGCTGAGAATGGTATGCATGTTCACTATGGGAAATGGGTATGAGCAGGACTGTGAAAGCAGTTGGATAGGAAGATGTATGTATATTACTGACAACTTGCTTATGTGACAGATCAGATACAAATTTTAGTCTATAAAATGGGTATAGTGTATAATGTTAATACTTACTGATGTGGATTCTTTTAAATTATGATAGCCTTGCATTCTATGAAAGATGAAAATAAGGCAATTTGTAGTATAGACATTTATATTGCTGAACTTGGCATTGGGTTGTAGTTTTTTTAGTGACATTAAGCTTTGAAAAACGCTTACCCATCTCGTATATGCAGTAGTAATATGTAAAAACTATTTGGTTGTGTTAAAAGATTGGAATGGGATATTGATAATGTTTGTTGGGTGAAAGGAGTGTGTGAAGATATGAAGAGTAGGAGTGTGTGACCCATCAACAAGCATACCCAAGCTTGTTAGATCAGAGTTAGAAGAGGCTAATGATCTTTGAAATTTGACACACTAGAATATTAGCTAAGAAATGTTTTTATACAGATTCTGAGAAAGTGCCTGCCTGAAATGTAGTTATAAAGGTTAGGATGTACAGTGCAGTGGATTGGAAATTTTACAGTTTGGTGGGTTAATATTGGATTAGAATGTATGATGGTGAGCTTTTGTTGTAAATTTTTTGCAAAATGGCTGAGTTCAATGAGGTTAATGACCACGATAACAATTAGTGTGATAACGAGAAAAATAAAATAGTGATGTAGGTAGATAAGTTAACATTAATTTCATAGGTGATATGTAACAAATGAAAGGAAGATTTTGAAGAACTGATGACAGAGAATCGAGAATTAAAACATTGATATGGAGGGGTAGATAAGATGATAGGGATTTTTAAACATGTTAGGCTTAACTTTGTTTAATCATATTTAGATGTATGGCTGTGTATAGCATTATGGTTGCCTAGAGAGCTAATATTTCTACTTGTCAGTCTAAAGTACCTATCTCAGCATCTGGCATGTTACAGTCTTACTTTATTTTTCTGTCTCGTTATATTGCTATTATTTTTCTTTTTTATATATGATTCATCTTGCATTCTTTTTAGGAATTACCACTGTTGAAGCCAATAGTTCTTGCTCCTGTACTCTTGTGAAGTTTGGATGAAGTGCACTATTTGTTATTGTATGTTCTCTTTAGCCTTATTCTCTTAAAAGCCTTCCAAAATGTCCTGTTGAGCACATGCTTCCTGTAAACCCTTTTCCTCAGGCTTTTGTCATACATTTTGAACTTAAAAGCAATTAAATACAATGCCTCCTATTATTATTATTATAATCAAGGGGGAAGCGCTAAACCCGGAGGATTATACAGCGCCTGAGCAGTGCTTCCTAGTTTTATGGCCCCTTGACACACGAAAAAGTTAATTAAGCTGCTGATGGAGGTTTCAGTGGATAGCAGCTTCTGGTAGAGGCATTAAAAATAGTAGAGATAGGCATGTGCTTATTGTATGGATAATTTAAACTAGCAGTTTTGATATTGCACAAATTTTGACTTTTTTTTTTTTTTAATAGAAGGCTAGGTAATTTAGGTTTTTTGTGAAGACCAGGTGATGTACTACAGTGTGAGCAATGATTGTGTGTAAGACTGAAGAAACAAAGCACATTTATAAAAAAAAAAAAAAAATTCAAACATACATTACCATATATGTAGCTAAGCATTTGAGACATGAGGTTTCACAAGACTGGTGTTGTAAAGGTTATATTTTTCTCACTTTCGTTTATTAATCTTTATTGTATTGGCAAAATGCATGTGGACTTACTGGCATTATGCATAATTAAAGTTGGTGTTTATTGATCCGAGTGTTTTTGAAGACTCGGAAACACACAATTCTCAAACTTCTGCTGGCATATGTGCTGATAACCCATTACCACATCTATAGTATTGAATATGTAGTGACTTGCATTGTAAATTACTAACACTGATTTACTTCTTTAGGAACTTGAAAGAAGTATTTTGGGGTTTTGGTTTTTCAGTAAACAAACCACAATAAACAAAAAATTGTAAATTAAATTTGTATGTAAAAATTATAGCAGTGAAATGTGGTAAATTTCACCTATGTAAAAGGTTGGAACCCTTGTTTCTTTCCCAGTTTTTTGTTACTTGATTTGTGGTTGGTTTATTGAAGTAATGGGAATGTATTCAGTAAGTTGAGTTGTAGACTATAATACACTGATGCATAACTAGAGATAAGCAATTTGCCTGTATGGGTATTGAAAGAAAATCTGGCAGTCCATAGATAGATGGGTTTAAATTTACCTTTCATATTGGCCTATATGTATGTTTAAATTAAGAATATTGATGGAGTACAGATTTTCTTTACATACTGTGGGATTAAAGGTGATTAGTACATACCAACTGAAAAATGCAAATAGTTTTGACATGTTAAGTAATAAAATTGTGAAATTTATACACAAGGTTCATATATGTACAGTATGTCAATATGGAGATTATTTAACAGAATTTATTGTTTGTTAAATATTACTGCATTGAAATATTTCAGTACTGTTTGTTTTTATAGAGGCATTTTGTGAATGACCATGAGTTTAACTTTTGGGCAAGTATGTGCTCATACCATGTTCTTTAAGGCACTAGTCAGTACTGAAGTTTTCTCTGTGAAGACTTTTGCAGTGCTGTATGACCCTTATGTTTTTAATTTACTGCTACTACTACTAATATAAAATTTGTTTAATGTTAAATATTAAATTTTTATTTTCATAATGCAGGACCAAGGTCGAACAGGTGCTGTATACAGAAGAGGCAATGGAGTCGTATTGCTGAGAGTTTCCACGGCTCCATGTCTATGAATGATGAAGTGCCTGATCTTCCACAGCCCATCAATGTTTCAGTTGATGACACTCGTATTATACAGCCCAATAATCATTCCAGCTATGGGGGTACAGACAATGTGGCATATGCATGATTGTTTTACTGTACATAAATTTTAGTTAGTGTAAATACTGCTAGTACACATTGTTATAGGTGAAGCATCATTTTGTATAAATAGTTTATACTGGATCTGACACATTTCATTAATTTTTAATGATCTTGGTGGATAAGGGGCTGTTGAAAGAGAAGCATTTTATACGTATTAGTTTGGAAAGAAAGATTTTGTAAGAGAATGTATTTATTTGGTGATTTTACTCTGTGGTTTGAAAAAGTTATTCATTATTGAAATTAGACTGCAAATGTTGATAGTAACTCAAATCCATATTGTATGAAATCGTTTCGATAATTACTTTTATGTATAAAGACAAAAGTCATTGTTAAATATGTTAATCTGATATTGTAACAGTCACTCAAGTGTTCAATGTTTATTAGTTTACAATTGTACTAAAATAACTGAAACAAGTCACACAGTTGCATAATATTTTCAAAGAAGCAGGAGGCTTAACTCTAATTAGAAAAAACTAAAACCGAGCATTGAAAATATTTTTCTTAGATATTGAGGCTGGAGAAGTGGCCAAAGGAGTAGCAGAACAATTACTGACAGCACTTGCACATTACTACCTATAGGTGGTGTTGGCACTGTTGTGGCATCCACCAGACACGGGTGTGCACATGATAAAGTTCTCAGTCTGTGGATAACATAAGATTTAGTTGTTAAAAGGCTCACAATTTCTTAAAATTTGTGCTGATGGTTTCATCATCCCTAAGTTGCTTTTGCCACTTGAAAATGAGTGGCACATGACTTTTTTCATCTATTCCTACCATTTAAATTGTTGCATTTGTGTTGCACACAATTTTGCTGGACCACTTTTAATGCTTGGTCTATTCCAACTTTGTCATCAGTGTGCAATGACTGTGATGATATTTTGATGTACCTATTTTTTGAGAATCTCGCATGTTAGTTAACTATGTGGATTGTTGTAGATTGTTTTTTTTCTTTGCCCTCTCATATAGTCATGATCATATACTGTATGTTTTTTGAAAGTAACTGTGTGTATGTACACTGTACTATGTTGGGTTAAGGTAAAACTTCAAAGATTGCTCATTCATTACCAAGATAAAGGCAAATACTAATCATATTTATAAAATTACTCTTGCAGTTATTACAATTTGAAATTGACACTTTACAGCTGTTTATCTAAATTTCTTAGAGCTGCTTTAAGTTAATGTAGGTGTTGACTTTTGAGAGTTTGAAAATTAGGTAACAAGCATTTTATATGTACCATTGTGATGGTTTCAGCACATAATACAGTACTGCTTTAACATGTTAAGGGCATTCACAGTTTGTATTTGTTGTGATAGTTCAGTATTACTGCTGCTGCTTCAAACAAGATTTTCCATAGTCTTGTAACTTTTAGTAAACTAAACTAATAATATAATCAAATTAAGCCTAAAACTGTAGTAAACTAGTATGAGCAACCAAAGATTGATGAATGTTTTGTTTCATATTGCTTGTTTAGTAGTAATCACAAGAACTGGCCATGCTGAAAGAACTTAACAAGAAAATTAGAGGGTGTTTAAAACTAAAATGAGACAAGGACAGAGGAATGATGAGGATTATTATTATTATAATCAAGGGGGAAGCGCTAAACCCGGAGGATTATACAGCGCCTGGGGGGGGATGTGGAAGGCATTCAGGCTTAATTCGGGGAACTGGAGCACAGATCCAATTCCCTAAATCAAGAGCCCCTCACCAACATCAAGGAACCTTCCTTGAGGGGACCAGGAATGATGAGGAAAGTGCTTGAAAGGTACTTGCCTGTGTGGTTGTAGGGGAGGGTCTGACCCTACCAGTAAATCTTTGTATAAACTGAGTAAAGCAGAATATTTAATTATTATTGGTATATTCATGATCTTTTAGATCTAGATGTCGTCAGAATTTTTTTGTCGTGAATTTATTTTGCCTTGTGTGCTTGTGTTCACCCTACTTTTGCTCTAATTTCAACATTCCTTTGCCATACATTTCTAGCCATCTACAGTTTCACTGAGCTGTACAGGTCCTCTGCCTCAGAATTAAAGCTACTCTGAATTGCTACTGTTTGATCATGGCACCTTAAACCTCATCTTCCTACCAGACATGAGGACACTACAAATTTTGCTGTAATTTTACTTTAGTTTCTGGTGGAAGGACGAGGTTTAAGGCGCCATGATCATTAGTGGCGACACAGAATAGCATTTATTCACAGTCAGAGAAACTGTAAAGCTTAACTTCTGAAATTGTACATGGCAGTTTCTACAGGTATCAGTTAGTTTCTTAGCCATATACTCCTCTCATGCCCATGCTGCTAAGATGCTTAACATTGAGATCAGTTGTTGTTAATATGCACTCTACTTGGTATGGTAATGCATTCACACAACACTGTAAATTCAGGGAATATTGGAGACTAAACCCCTTCTTTCTCATCCTAGGGAAATTCAGATTATTCATATTGCTCTTGTCCACTTTCTAACCTTAGTAGGTTTAGTGTTTCTTATTTATTATAATCTTCCCCACTTCCATGTGCAAAAGCTCAATTACCTACCATAACCTCATGCTGCCTCTTTTTTAACCACTTCCATTCTCATTCCAGTTCATCTCTTAATTGTCTATCAGCAGGCACACACTCCATTTCCAGCATCCCCTCCACTTAACACAATTATTTGACCACCTTGCTAAAAGTCCCACCTTTGATGCAGACTCCCTTGTGACTTTTTAACAAAATAAACTTGCTGCAACAACTTTATATTTTATTTTAGTAACCCACTACCCCTGCTAACCTTAGTCCTTGCGCATGCACACACATGTGCATACTCCCTCGTTTCTGATATCTACATGTTCCGCACCCCTCAAGGAAGGCTCCTTGACGCTGGTGAGGGGCTCTTGATCTAGGGAATTGGATCTGTGCTCCAGTTCCCTGAATTAAGCCTGAATGCCTTCCATCCCCCCATAGGCACTGTATAATCCTACGGGTTTAGTGCTTCCCCCTTGATTATAATAATAATACATGTTCCGCAGCGCTGTATAGCCCTTGTGGCTTAGTGCTTCTTTTTGATTATAATAATAATAATAATAATAATCTACATGTTCCTTGTTTTGCACATCCCACCCTCCAGCGTTATAAGACCTTCTCGGGTTTAGTGCTTAATCTTATTACAGTTGTTTAACACTGTTTTGTCTTGTACGTTTTGGTTATAGCACGACTGGAGAATTGCAGCATATTTTTGTTTAGTTTAACACAGTTGTGGAAGGGGAAAAAAAATTTTGAGTGTGCAGTTGCCCGCCAGGCAGAATGGTCTATGTGTTACACCACTGAGTCAGTGGGGAGATCCACCGCTTACCAGCCTTCAGTTCATACACATGTAGGACGATGATACTCGGGAAGCTCGGTGTGTTTATTTTTTTTTTTCTCAACAAGTCGGCCGTCTCCCACCAAGGCAGGGTGACCCAAAAAAGAAAGAAAATCCCCAAAAAGAAAATACTTTCATCATTCAACACTCGCACATTATCACTGTTTTTGCAGAGGTGCTCAGAATACAACAGTCTAGAAGCATACACATATAAAGATACACAACATATCCCTCCAAACTGCCAATATCCCAAACCCCTCCTTTAAAGTGCAGGCATTGTACTTCCCATTTCCAGGACTCAAGTCCGACTATATGAAAATAACCGGTTTCCCTGAATCCCTTCACTAAATATTACCCTGCTCACACTCCAACAGATCGTCAGGTCCCAAGTACCATTCGTCTCCATTCACTCCTATCTAACACGCTCACGCACAGCTTGCTGGAAGTCCAAGCCCCTTACCCACAAAACCTCCTTTAACCCCCTCTCTCCAACCCTTTCGAGACGACCCCTACCCCGCCTTCCTTCCCCTATAGATTTATATGCTTTCCATGTCATTCTACTTTGATCCATTCTCTCTAAATTGACCAAACCACCTCAACAACCCCTCTTCTGCCCTCTGACTAATACTTTTATTTAACTCCACACCTTCTCCTAATTTCCACACTCCGAATTTTCTGCATAATATTTACACCACACATTGCCCTTAAACAGGACATCTCCACTGCCTCCAACCGTCTCCTCGCTGCTGCATTTACCACCCAAGCTTCACACCCATATAAGAGTGTTGGTACTCACTATAACTTTCATACATTCCCTTCTTTGCCTCCATAGATAAACGTTTTTTGACTCCACATATACCTCAACGCACCACTCACCTTTTTTCCCTCATCAATTCTATGATTAACATCATCCTTCATAAATCCATCCGCCGACACGTCAACTCCCAAGTATCTGAAAACATTCACTTCTTCCATACCCTCCTCCCCAATTTGATATCCAATTTTTCTTTATCTAAATCATTGACACCCTCATCACCTTACTCTTTTCTATGTTCACTTTCAATTTTCCCTACCTTTACACACATTCCCAAACTCATCCACTAACCTTTGCAATTTTTCTTTAGAATCTCCCATAAGCACAGAAATCATCAGCAAAAAGTAACTGTGTCAATTCCCATTTTGAATTTGATTCCCCATAATTTAATCCCCCCCCTCTCCCAAACACCCTAGCATTTACTTCCTTAACAACCCCATCTATAAATATATTAAACAACCCATGGTGACATTACACATCCCTGTCTAAGACCTACTTTTACCGGAAATAGTCTCCCTCTCTTCTACACACCCTAACCTGAGCCTCACTATCTTCATAAAAACTCTTTACAGCATTTAATAACTTACCACCTATTCCATATACTTGCAACATCTGCCACATTGCTCCTCTATCCACTCTATCATATGCCTTTTCTAAATCCATAAATGCAATAAAAACTTCCCTACCTTTATCTAAATACTGTTCACATATATGCTTCAATGTAAACACTTGATCTACACATCCCCTACCCACTCTGAAACCTCCTTGCTCATCCGCAATCCTACATTCTGTCTTACAAAGTATTTATAGGTCCCAACAATGTTTTAGACACCCTGGAGTATACCTTGAAGCATGGTGTTATGAAAAGCATCCCTATATTGTTGACAACCCAGTGACATTTGATAAATGTGAACTGCTCCAGCTAACCCTCCCTGTATTTGTTATCACTGTTACACACAAACATGTCTATGTCTGTCTGTCTAGCTCTTATCTTTTTTTTCTATCTGGAGTATACATGAAACTCCTTGAAGAATGGCGTTATGACAACTGTTGACAGCCCAGTGACATTTGAGAAATGGGCAATAGGGAACCTTGGCTTTATTTGTTTTCACTGATATGTACAAATTTGTATGTTTGTCTATGTTCGCCTGGAATTTTTGGGTTTTCCTGGGTAATTTACACTGTATAATTGTACTTATGTGTACATTTGAGAGAGAGACAGATAGATATAGAGCCAGCCAGCTAAATGCATAAGAAAGGAACACTGCAGCAGGCCTACTGGCCAATGCAAGGCAGGTCCATGTCCTCCCCCCCCAGCTTAGACTAATGACTCACCTAGTCAGGTCACATCCACTGAAGGAGCACATCATCAGACCTAGTAGCACAAGCTAGTCAGGTCCAACCACACTCAATCGTGTATTTATCTAACCTATTTTTACTTTCCTCTTGAAAGGGGTGTTAATGCGACATGGCATCAGTGAATCCCTGGTGTTTGCCACACTTTGCTCTAGCTGGTGCTCAGTTGAACTGGTGCTCCTACAAGGTACTAAGTCTCCCCAGATTTCTTTAATACTGTGCACAGAGTGCACAGACCCATTCTTTCATGTCTAGGCGACTCGAGCCCATTGTGCCTAATTTGAAGGAATGAAAAATAAAATGTAGATCTACGTTCGGAGCACTATGCATGTAAATGTACATCTATGTTTGGATAGTAAGGGTTACGTGTTCAAATCTAGGAATTACAAAGAAAATCGAGATATTAGATAAGCTTAAGAGTGGCTCGTGTGGTGGATATAGCGAGGGCCTATGGCCTTAATGAAGCATCAGTTCGTACAATTAAAAAGAACAAGGTGAATATACAAGCTTGTGTAATGAATAACCCAAGCTGTTACCTCATGAAAAGAATGACACACAGATCACAGCAAGTAAATAAAACTGAAAAAGATTCAGCCTGTAGCCGGAATGAAGCGTCATTTTGTACACAAAGAACGAGGTAAATACATGTGTGTGATGACTGAATGACTTAGACTTTTTCACTGAGGAGGGCCCTGAAATGGTGTCTAGAGCAGCTGATGCCTTACTGTCAACTGTATAATGTACTGTAGGGTAAAAATAAAGCGCAAATCCCTTACAACCATCGACTTCGGTACCAGAACCTCTACCATCCACCTCAGCCCAGTAGGGCCACAATATAACTCTTCACAATCATCTACAAACACCAGCACCCACAATATAAGGCAAGAAATGCTATTATTTCTGTTGCATTTGTAATCTTATGTAGTAAAAACATAATACATCAGTTTGTCTAATGTCATTTTCAGGAACATAACTACCCTGTTAATTGGTCTGCTGTATTATAGAAGACTGAATGACAGGAGTATTTGTGAGAAAACGCAGACAATAAATTTGTGGACATTCTATGGCTCTGGTAACAACCAAATCAGACACTGGGCAAACAGAATTGTCAAACTTTATCTGTCAACTCGGGAAAGTACTAGACACTACTGACATTTGTGACTGACAATATCTGGAATCTATGGCCTTTTTCTCACTGTCTTCAATATTTAATTAGGCTAGTAGGTCTACTATGTTAGGTAGACCATGAGACATGGCACAATGAATAGTGCTCCAAGTAATTGGTAGTACTGAGCAATATACTTAGTTCAATATCTCTGTAGCTTAAGGATTTTTTAGTTGGAAACTACCTTGGTTTGGTGTGATTGCATTTGATGTCATGACAGCTGTACAAATTCCTACATTTGACACATGAATTGTTCCTATTATTAGCTGAGGCTGTATATTCATTCTCTCCGATGTGTTTGCTCAAGTTTCTGCCAGGGTCTCCCACATCTTGTTATATCCAGTGCATGGAATTTTATGAACAGCTTCTACGTAATGGTGGTTGTTTTTTTCCTGCGAGGTCACGTATTTGCAGAGATTGGGTCACGTGTTGGCTTTGTTCAATATCTTCATGAAGATTTTTTTTTTAACAAAGTCGATAACTTTTGCAGTCTGTGACCTCACAATCACCCTCAAACAGAAGTTACTCTATGAAATTCCATGGGGTGGATGCTAGAAGATACAAGTGACAGAAACCACTAAAATTTTAAGGAAATAAGTATAAGTGTGCAGCCCAGACTGATAGGAACCATCCAGTACAGGGTTCCAACTAAAAACTCTTAATAAAGGGACAAAATAAAAAAGTGCCATGAAACACACTCATGACAAGGACAAATCACTGAACCTGTGCAGCTTCCAACTGAAAAAAAAAAAGTTTGGCTATACAGATATTGAACCATGTATACCACCAAGAACTACACAACAATACCAATGTATCTGAGATCTACATAGTGTGGGCCAGTAGGCCTACTCCAATGTTTCTCTCATATTTGCTTACTTTACACCAATGTCCTTCCTACCTATAAATTGTGCTACCATAAATAAAGTTCAAAAAATTTTACAAAATGGAGGCGTATAACTAAAGAAACTGGAACATGGGGAAATTTCAATTCAAAGAAAATAGGGAATTCTTTTGCATTAGTGTGATGTAGTGATGTGATGTAGTTTTACTTGTTTAAGAGCAGCTGGAATATATTTACTTTTAGCTGCTAGGCTGCCAAGTTTGGGTTGCCCACATGTTTACATTCTAAAAATTCAGTTATTTTCAAAGTGGTTGTAAAATCATAGTATTTTTGGCTAGGGTATTCTATAAAGATCAGAGAATGTTGCAAGAATATATTGGAGATTACAGAGTAACTTAATTATAGGGATTTAACATCAAATATGAGATGTAGAAGCTTTGTTAGGGGGAAGAGTAGCATTTTGTTAGTTATCTGTTTTGAAAGAATGATTATATACTGGGAGGATTTGATGCTGCTCATGGTAGTTTTGAAAAAAATTATGACCCTTTTGGGTTAAG